ATTTTAAAATATGCATCTCCTTACAAGACTGAGAAAACCACATATTATTTTATTTATTTTGCAGAGCTTTATATCATACAGAATATTAAACTCTGATTACAATTGAATGAAAATTATCTCACTCTTAATAAAACTCAAGAAATCAAATAAAATCAAAGTAAACCTTCAGTTAGTTCTAAGACTTTGTTACTGCATTCACCAGACAGTGGTGCCTCAGGGGCTGATGATATAAAATGCAAGTTGGCACGCTTGAATTTTTTCTTCTTAGTTTGTCCACCTGTTGGAGTCCCAGTGTTATTGCTTTTCCTTGGAAGTGGTTATAGGTTGTAAGTATTATGAGCTTAGTTTGTCTGCACTCTGTTCTAAAACTACTGTTGTGCCAATTTGCATCACCCATGTTTGAGTAATTCCAAAGTTATTGCTACAGAGAGCAGCTGATGTTATAGGAAATATCAATTATATATATATATGTGTGTAAGAGTGTGTATATATACACATATACATATATATACAGATATAGATATATACACTAGCATGGTTTTACTGCATTTTGGCAGATTGGTAGCACTGAACTAGAGTCCAACAGGGAACAAATTGCAGTGTCAGCTGCTGGCTTGATTTGCATTCCACCGTTATTGCTAGGTTCTCAGGTTCATCGTCATTCCTGGTGCCTCCTCAGAAGTCTGTTAAGTATTTAGAGTACACAATTCATAAAACAGGCTTGAAAATACTCCACTGGAGTTGCTAGATTACAGCAGTTGCTGCCAGAGCTTTTGAAGACAAAACATTTTGAAGTGATTGGTATGTACACGTGCACACATACACTTCCTACACTATTGGAGCTATCAAAGCTCCCAACATTTCAGAGCACATTAGGAGCATAGAACTGGAGCTGTCTAACAGTTTTATCCAACTGTTTTGAAGCCATTAACTTATTTATCCTTCGCCTGTGAACTTGGACAGCAGAATTTAAGCTATACACAAAGCCTACATTGCATGTTACAGTAATGTACAGGCCAACAACAAAGTAACTTATCTGCCTGTGTAGGTACTGTAGAAATAAAAGCTACCCTGGCCTCAGAAACAGGACAGCTACATGGCCAAAGCGCCTCCAAACCAAAAGTTTGGTGTTTCTGGAGAGTTGCTGGCTGGGGCTCAGAGTGTCTGCAGGTGAATCCCAGGTCCCTGTGCTGCATTGCCCCAGGGAGAAGGGGTGGTGATGTGGCTTTAGCATTATTGATGCTACCTTCAAATCTAAGGTTCAAAATAATTTCCAGAGACACAGTGTTTAAGCCACTTTTTGAAATGCATCCCTCCTCTCTTTTGGTCTTTCTTGGAAACTCTCCCACCTCCTGCATGACTCTGCTCTGTTATTGTGGCCTTAGCAGTATGGAATAGATAAAGGCACAGTAGGAAAAAGGAATTGGTTCCATTACCATGTTCTCTCACAACTGGGTGAGACTGAGAAAAAGAAAATATGGGCTGAGAACCATAAACAGTGCAGTGTACTTCTATGGGCTGTGTGTGCAGAGCTGATTTTTACCAGGGGAGCTCTGAAATTATCATCTTTGCTTGTAGGCACAAAAATGTTTGGTTGTGGGAATGTGAGATTGTGCTGGTTTGGGTCATTGGCAGGGATAGCACCATTCAACAGTAGTGCTGACTTATTGCAGTATTTAGTGATGCACAGACATTTCTATAGTGCCCATCAGCAGGATGGTGAAAAGGGAACTTCTCACTCAGCATTTGTCTGAGGCTGTTTCTGACAGGAAGGATGACTTCTAAGATTATTTTGAATGAACGAGTGACAAAGGAAAATTTCTACCACTTTACTATGCAACTGAGGCTGGCAAAGTGGAAAATTTAGTAGGCTTCAGTTTTATCAGTATCTTTCCTTTCTGCACTACTATATTGCTCCAAAAAAAAAAAAAAAGAGGAAATATAAAAACCAGCTCTTCCTAAAAGGCTACAGGCCCACTAGATTAAGCATAACAAGGCTGAGGGCTGAGATCAAGTTATCTCCACAGGTTACTGTATGTCAGCTGATCCACAATAATTCTGTGTGCACATGGTCTTAACCTAAGACAGATGAAAAATAATGCGACAAAGAAAAATGAAAAATAGTAATGTTATCTTGCAGTGGGGGAGGTGTGCAGTGAGTCAAATTCCTGCATGATAATGCAATGGCTTAGGAAACCCCCTATCTACATAGAAAGGTGATTATTGCAGCATCATGTTTTGTTTTGCGGTTCTAAGGGCCATGCACAATGGGGTTGTAATTCATATAATGTTTGATGTGATGTCCAGAAGTCAAACTTAAATATGGATATAATAATCAGGAAGTCTTCAATTTGAAAAACAGACTTGCTTCCTTGTTTTATGGAGGTGTTACTGAGATGCCCACAGGTGCTGGAGAAGTGTGTAAAAAATTAAATGTAACCTTTAAAAATGGATTTTTTTTGTGGTTTCAGATACACAAATATGTTACAAATAAAGACAAAAGAATCACTGTAATATGTTACCAGCTTTTAGGGTGATATTTGCTCTTGCATCTGTGTTCTTGTTGCCTGTGCACAGTATTTGTGTACAAACGTAGGGAAGTCAGGAAAACTTGTTTTTTTCACTAGAAGTGTATATATCTATAAAGGAAGGTTGGAAGTCTGCTTTCAAGGCTGCAATGCATTCATTTCACTTGCCAATACCTGATCATTTGCAAATGGTAACTTGGCTGCAGCCCCACATGCTCCAGCTTTGGGAAAACGGCTGATATATGTGCTGTGTGTACCACTTCTTTTTATCCTCACCATTTCTATTCACTTTAAAGCTGTTCTGTTTACTTTGTAATTTTTTAAAATATCTAAAATAATATATGTATATGCATATATATAGCAAATAAGAAAACTGGTATATAAAGTGTAGGTTATGAATGGTGTAATAATGAATAATGGTAAAATTAGTCAGCTTTATTTAATCCTCAGAGCCTTTGATTTCTTTGAAAAGTTGCATACGCCATTATCATTACATGCTGGTTTTCTACATTTCAAAAATTAGTAAAAGAGGAGATTGCTTTAAAGCAGGACAATGTTACATTTCTTTGTATATATTTCTGTGTAAAGAGAGTAAGCATAAGAATGAAACAGGTGAAACAAATAAGCTACTGCATCCATGGGGGAAAAATGGGTGAAATTTATTCTGAGTCTGGTTGAAGCAGCTGAAATTAAGAAGAGCTACAGTTACCTTTCCAAGATAACTGGGAAACTGCTATGCAGCTCACACCAGAGGCAAAAGAAGATGAGCGTGAATTGGATAAGGTGGATTCATTATTGACACTCTATAGACATGGAAAAGTAGGACCAGGAATGGAGAAATATTAAAACAAGGAAAAAAAAAAAAAAAAGAGGAACGTTTAGAACATTGTTCAATCAACTGAGCCAGCAAAAAATATTTTTCAGACTCTGCAAATCTCATCAGGAAATGGTCCTTTAGTTGTTTCAGAAAAGGTCATAGCTGAGGAGCTGAGAGCGTGGTGCCAGAATGTTGAGGAACTGAGGAGGTGTTCAGCAGCTGCTCAGCTGTGTAACTGCAGCATGCAAGCAGTGCTGGAAAACAAAGTCAGATGTTTAAAGAGAATAAAATATAGTGGAAGAACCCTTGAGTTCTTTGCTTGGGGGACTTCCAGAGACATGGAGCTGCAGAATGCACTTACTGCAGGAGGCAGTGCTAGGGTAGTAAGACAAAGAGAGAGCAGACACAAGAGTTCTGCTAGAGAGGTGAAACTGGTTCTGGAAGATTTGATGTGAATGACCAAGACATACAAAGCAAAATATTTCATTGTGTTTCATATGGTCTTGTAAAAACTTCATGAACTTTTTTAACTTTAAAGAAGGATGTACCAGTTCCAGGAACATGAAATTTCATGTAGAATTACCAATTATTATGAATAAGTCCCTAATCTCATACTGTGCAATGCTTTTCTTTTTTTCTCCTCAGTGTAATAAATACTTTTATTGAAGAGTAGAATTGATTTTATAGGAGACAAAAAAAAAAAAAAAATTCAAAGCCCTTAAGTTAACTCTAATAGACATTAAAAGACACTGTTAAATGCAGGTTTCCCATTAGAGTGAACATTTTAATAATTAAGTCAATAAAAATGAAAACATGCTGATATGACAATAATTTGGAAAATCTACTGCTTTGCTCCCAGGTATTGGTGTACATGGGAAGTCCCCTTAGCCCTAACAGCACTCAAACACAGAAGTTTATAGGCAAATCCCAGCAAAAAACCAAAAAAGAGTCTCTGGCCTTAGTGAGAACAATACCACATCCCTGTGTCAGCAAATGCCTTTTCCTGCCCTCTGGCTCTGAACAGGGAAGTCCTTGTTAATCAGCCAGTGTGATCTTGGCTTAATGATTCAGAATCACTACAATGTGATGCCAAAAATCTCTCCAAGCGAAAAAAAAAATAAATAATCTCCTTCTTCGTTATCATTTTTGAAGGCTCTAAGTATGAATGAGGTTTGAAAAAAGGAAAAGCAGGGCTGGAACTTGTCTTTTATGGCCAGAAAATTCTTGTATCTCTTCCAAGTGACACTGTAAGGCTTTCTGTTTTGAAAGTCTAAAAGGAAATATTTTGTTTAATCTTTATGGAGGTGAGGGAGAGGACAAAGACAGAAACCTTGAGCTTTCCTCCATCTTCCCCATCCTCATCTTGATCTGAATCTCTTGGAAAAGGACAGAGCTCAATTTGGTGAAGTTACTCATTTGAAATATCAATTATCCTTCAAAAACATGTCCCAGACTTCCTAAGCTGTCAGAAGGTTTGTCACTGCCGCACGCGAACCTTTAGAAGTTACATCTGAGGAGGGAAGATGTTGTTGGAAATCTTCCCCTGTGTTGACACACTATCTCAATTTCTTCTAAAAAAAACTCCTAATTAGTTATTTCTCTTTTTTTTTTTTTCTTTTTTTTTTCTTTTTTTTCCCCCCTCCCCAATCAAGCAGCACCAGGGAAAAATTGGAGTCAAATTTAATGTTGGGACGGATGACATCGCCATCGAAGAGATGAACGCCATCATTAACGATGGGAAGTACCACGTGGTGCGCTTCACAAGGAGCGGTGGCAATGCCACCCTACAGGTGGACAACTGGCCCGTCATCGAGCGTTACCCAGCAGGTAAGGCCTCACACAATCACCTGGCACTAAGAGGGTGGGGGGTGCCTGGAGTTTGCCTCGTTTTGCTCCTCTCCTAATGCAGTATCAGCTCCTTTGAAGTGTTTTAGTAGCTACAGAAGTAGTTAAAAGAATCCTGAGCAGTACATTTTATGATGATGGCATTTCCTAAGTGAGTTTAAAAGCCCAAATTCAAGTTATTACTGGAAGTGGAAAAATGCAGTTATTGAGGCATGAAGTAGTAGTTTTGTTTCTTGCTATCATTTGTTTTTATTGTACTTTTGGTTTAGTGGGGGAAAAAAAGGCTTTGACAAAAGCTACACAGTTTAAAGTGACTCACAAGTCTATCCCCAAGTGATGGGGTGAAACATTTACTGAGGAAAAGGTTGTCTGTGTTCTTTTGATTACAAGATTACAGCAATCTGAAGCTTATGAATTTAGCAGAAGTCTTCCAGCAGACACAAGCCAAACGGCGCCGCAGTTATCAATTGTACAGCCAACCGCCCAAACTGAGGTGCCTTAACTCCAGATGCAAACTGCAGGATATTATTTATGCAGATGATGCTGGTTACTTGAAGAGGACCACTAGTATGACAGCAAAGCTGTCTTGAGCAGGCCCATTTTAATTTTATGCAAATGCTATGTGCTGAGGATTACTATGCTGCTAATTTTATTCATTTTTAAAGGCAACAAGTTTTTCAGATACGCAATCCCTTTCTTATTGAGTAGGACAACTGAGCCATGAGTGGTAACTTATGCATCTGCATGTTATCTCCTAACAGTTGCTCTGTGTGTTTATATTAAGCAAAAGGCAGCAAGTCTAGAGGTGGAAATGAAGGCAAATATGCAGACCAGAATGCTGATTGCACAAATGGCAGTTCTGATTTATCGGTTTAAAAGTAGAGAATTCTTCATTTTTGGGGGTGGAGTGCAGCAGGAGGGTGTGTTTCACTAGTAAGGAGTGCATAAACCATTCCCTGAACTAATTATTAGTATTTAGGATGGAGATTTTTGTTATTGTTGCTGCCATTTCAGTTGTAGTCCAGCTATTTTAAAAAATAAAAATATTTCTTTAAACATCCACACATGAAATATAACCCTTCAGATAATTTCTTGGAAAAAAATCAGAATATATGAACTAATGAAAGTATGTATTGGGAAAGAGACTATGTACAGCAGAAGTTGTTAATAAGCCTACCTATGTGCTAATGTGCTATAAATGAATGACAGCTCTGGCAATTAGAACCATTAATGATTTCTAAGTTAGACACATCTATGAAGGGTGATAAACACTTGAGGGAAAGGGGGATACTGAATGAAATACATTCAGTGATCTTTCAGATATTCCTGTTTCCCCTGTGGCCCCCTAGCTTTCTCCTTTTGAGGTGTTTGGTAAATGTTGCTGAAATAAGGTGTAAGCTGGGGAAGACTTGTCAGAGTTTGTGTTCAAGACCTATTCAGCACAAAGGGGAAAATAGGTTTGAGGTGTTTTTCTGTTTATTTTGGTTTTTGCCTAAATGTTTAGCGTGAATTCCCCACATCCAAGATCAGGAGTGATGCATCCCAACAAGAGGAAGTCAGGCAAACATGCCAGGAGGTCTGTGTGAATGAACAGGGAGCTCCTGGACAGGCTCAAACACAACAAGAAGCCTTGAGTTCTGAAGCTAGTGGCACACAGAGCTTGTTTATACTGAACAAAGATCAATTTAGAAAAGAGAATTCTTTCCTTGGGATGGGATTGGTGGAGTTGGAAGAAAGTTGGATGTTTTCTTTGAAAAAAGAAAACAAAATATTAAATTTTTATTGAGTTTCCATGAGCGCTGTATGTGCAGGCTGCATTTCAAGGCATTCTCGGTTGCTTCATTAGCTGTGGTACAGAATCTCTTGGCTTGTTTTATTGTTGGATCTTCTAAAACTGCTGTTAGCCTGTAATTTTCTTTGACTTTTCTACAGTAATATTTTATGACTCCTGTATGCCATAGCATTGCTTTTGGCTGCTATCCTCCCCCTTTTCACCTTCCATCTCTTCTCTCTTCCCAGAAAGCAACCACCAAGCCACACCTTTCTCTTCTTTTACTATGCTGCTCCATCAGATTTGCCAGTCTTGTTGTTTTGGGTTTTTTTAGTTTTTAGTAAAACCAAGATTAGGCAGCCTAATGGGTAACGTTGCTGTATTTACATATGCTGGATTTTTTTTTTTTCAAAGATAAAATTAAATAATCAGTTGGTTGTCTAAAGCTTACCAACAGATCAGATTCTTCTTTATGAGGAAAGATTTTTCTCAGAATTCCTCTTCAGGTTGGGATGCCTGATTACAAGACATTGCTTGTTTGTGTTTGGTGCCTTAAAATGCTGCGTGAAGACTTTCTGAGAGAATTTTCTGGTCAGAGACTTGGGAATTTCCAGTTTCATTGCCTGTGTATCCTTCATCCAGCCCCATGAAACTGCTGTGGATAAGGATACCCAAGGCCCAAAACCAGCTGGTACCTTGCAAAAGAATATCAAATGGCAACACTTCATAGAGCTTCCATGGTGGCTTTGTGGGTTTTACCCAAGAGCTGCATAAAATGCAGAAGAGTGATCCTGGAAGATGAACAGAATGCAGTCTGTCTCTCCTGTGACATCAATCTTGATCTAGATTTGAGTTTGCTCTGGGCCAATGCACCTTCAATTTATATCTGAGTGGGTCTGAAATGAGAGAGCTGTAAAAGGAAAAGAGGCAGGGGTCAGTGGTAGAGGATGATTATCCTAGTTAAGGTAGATGGGGTTTTTTTTTAAATATAGTTGAGAAAAATATGTTTTAGTCCTAGACAAATGTGAAGATTTCAGTATCCTGAAATGGCTGGATGATTTTCAGAAACAGAGGTTTGGATTTACATATGTATGTTCTTCCAGACTACCATCAAAGTAATTTTTTTACTCTGAAGTTTCTTTCCTGTCACCTTTATGAATAAAATAAAATGCTAGAGCTATGAGGATGTATACTTTGATTTCTGCCCTTTATTAAATGTTGATCCTGTTTTCCCCACTTCTTATGTTTGTGGCTGGTGCATAGCCCTGTGATTGTGAGTGGCACACTGTAGTTTTTTGATAGTTGATTAAGATGCCCATATCTTCACTAGATTTATTTATTCCATCTGTCTTAACTAAAATCAGTGCTATGTCTCTTTGCTGAATTATCACCATGCCTCTGCACCCTCCTGAAGAAATTTAGTATTTGATCTTGATCTCTTTTTCAGATAGTAAATTCACATTAACTTATCTGGATGCAGCCTAATTGATGATCATATTAAACAGGAGTGAGAAAACTGCTGACTATTCAGTCAGAGCTCCTAATCAATAGACTATCCCCATTTCCAAGCAGATCCTTTCTACTCCTTGTGGCTTATCTGGTCTGCTCCACTGTCTAGTTTTAATTTCCCTTCCCAGTGGTCTGGCTGCTGTTGTGGTGATGGGACTGCTCCACAGTAGCAACTCCAGCTGCTTCTGTGAAGAGGCTGCTCTTGTAACTTCAGTTAGGTGATAATTCTACACTGAATTGTCGGTTTCCGAAGGGTGCATAAAACAAATAACTTGCTAATTTGTGTCAATCTGAACTAAGAATTATGGTCAAATTAAAAAAAAAAAAAAAGGAAAGTTGTTTTAGTAATATGAAAATATTAATTTCAGTATTTTCTGAGTAAAATGTTCTGACTTTTCATGTCAAGATTTCCCAGTGTTTACAGGGGACTTAGATAATCTGAGAACAAAGCATTTTGTTCCATTTGAAACAACATTTTCTTCCTTATCTGAAAGAAAATATGTTTAAAATAAGATCAAAAAGGGAGGAAGAAAAAAAAAACCAAATCTTTATCATAATAGTGCTCATAACCATATCTGTTTATCATGAAAAACAGTTTTCTTAATTATATATTTTTCTCCTTGGTAGTGAAGTGTGTATATTTTACATAGTTAGAGAACATACGTCAAGACAAGGTAGAGGACACACTACTTACTGTGAGAGAATTTCAGAATCACTTTTCTGACACTAACTCTGTGCTTTCTGTGGTCAAAGGCAATTTTCTCAATGATGATTCTTTTAAAACACACAGCACAACTAATCATTTTATCAGTGAGGATTTTCTCTTCATGATTTCCATCGTAAATCACACTGATGCAGCATTTTCTATCTAGAAAATGACCTAGTAGATACTGGGCAATGGGTCTATGGTTTCAAAGCTGCTCAGTCTGCTGAGAATGCTCAGCATTCCTGAGACCCTGCAGCAATTTGGAAGATACTGTCTGATGTAGGCAAATATCTAAAATGATGCCCTCCCAGTCATCCCTGGATCTCTGCTTAGCCTTAGAAAAGCATAACTTTGTTGCAGCTGTCCTCACGTACCCCATGGGTCAGGACATGTCAGGGATGTGTCTGACAGACCAAGATCTGACAGCACGAGCATGTCACTCACATTGTTTGCAGTAAAGAGCTTGTCCAAAGCATTGCCAGACTGCTGGAACAGATGCATCTCTGTGATTAGGAGATATAAATCATGGTAGAGCACAGACACCGAAAAAGAACCTGTGTGAGAGACCATGGATGCTGGCAGAAGATCAAACTGACGTTATGCTAAGTGCCAGTACCTCTGCAATATGGCAATCACCAGCTTGAAGGGCTTTGGTATAATATAGAATAATTCTATAATTGGTTTTTTTTGTTTGTTTGTTTGTTTGTTTGTTTAATTGAATTGGGGCTTTCTTGGTGGTTTGGTTTTGATTAAAGAGCTGAGATCACACATCTTGTCTTCTTGTCTTTAGGGACTGTCTCTGGATCTGTGAGATAAAGGTTGTTCCTGCAGAACACCCAAGGGCTAGGGGAAGGGGAATGTCATTTAAATGCTTCTCTTGGTCCCTGTATTCTAGAAAATAGAAAAAGCGTCTGTCATCTTTTCATGGGATACATGTGACTTTAAGATAAATGCTAGGAGTCAGCTATTACCATGTATCCTATTTAGGGTAAATAA